GCCAACTGGCATCAGTACATTGAATGTACGAGTATGTGAGTTGGAATGCTAAAACAACATAGGCTAGAAAGAATCTGAGAGAACTGAAGAACTTACATGGCTCAACTCAACTCAACATGACTGAACTCATTTCAATATAAATCAGTTTAAAAACAAGTGCAATATAAGGAAAAGTTGTTTTAAAACATTATATTAACTCTGTGTGCATTTAAAGATACAAATAACTCTGAGATGTATGTAAAAATACAAATAACTAATGTATATAAAAATACAATACTTCTGTGGGAGTTTCACTAACCGACAACCACATAAGAGCTATAGTGATGATATATCGATCTACCTCACGCTGCCAGCGCATCCTATACCCAGCCAAAGGTATAGGACCTGAACTGCCTAATGAATCCACTAGTCTATTTCGAAAAAGATTCGTCCTATACCTTGCCGCGGGTATAGAACCTGAACTACTAAGTGGATCTACTAGTCTATACTAAAAAGCATCAAGGAATCATCTAAACAATAGGACCCTTTTCTACCCATGGTGGCTACATGGTTTTATGGTGACGTAAGTTATCTGAACTCATGCTCGTCCCCAATTCGGTGCTCAATACTATTCCCAAAATATACTAGCTATTATGTTTAAAAAAAAACATACTTCTTCTCTTATTTGAGATTAGTGCTCAAAAACTTAGCTCAAAGGCTATCTTGGAAATCTCAATTTCCCTTCTTTCTTCATTTAGAAATCAATTACCCCTCTCTGAAAACTAGCCCGAAGGCTCTCTGAAAATCTCAGTTTTCGTTCTTATTTAAATGTGAAAAAAGATTTTAAATCTCTTTGGGGAAAATACTTAGTCCCCAGATGCTTATTGAAGAAAAGAACTTCAACTTTACGCTTTACTGAACTCAAAACTTAAGTCTTAAAACAAAGTTAAAACATTTGTAAAAGATTTTTTGAAAAACTTTAAGAACGTATCTTAACTTGACTCTTGACTTTTCTTGATTTTGATCTTAACAGCTCCTGACTTGACTCTTAACTAATCTTCTAATTAAATTATCGATTCAAGGATTATGATTTGTGTTTGGAAAGACTTCATGATGTTTAGGAATGATTTCGAATAGCTAAACTTGAGAAAAGTTACGAAATCATCGTCTTGGAACAAGTTCGCGACGCGGAGATGTTTCTAAATAAATACTCCCAAAATTTAATTTTGAGACAGAGGAGTCTGCGTCCTGTCCGCGACGCGGAGTCAATTTTTGTTCATTGGGGAGGAACAAGTCCGCGGCGCGCGGACTTGTTTGACGAAATCTGCTCTACTTTTTCCTTTTTCGTTTTCCACCTCCAATTCGCCTAAACTCGAATATTTTCCTCAAATTCATTTTAAATCCCGATACCCAACATATGTACTGAAGAACCTAACTCAAGGCAACTCTAAAACACAACGTAAAGATCTCAGAAACTCCACAGTTCAACCCAATTCAAGAATTCATGTCAAAAACATCAACATTCAAACTCTTTTCGGACGAACTTCGTTGAACTAAACATGTTTGGCGCGTGGGTGAATGAACCCAACGTTATGAGAGACTCACATACCTTGTAGGATCAATTCCTTGACGAATCCACCACCAAAATCAATTGTTCTTGGCGAATCTTTCTTTTCTTCTTCTCCTTCCGCTTGCGTTCTTTCTCCAAAAACCCTAACTCTGATTTTTCAAAAACGTAAACTGAACTAACTCAGTCTTGACCCCAATTATTTTACTAACAACGGATTTAATTAATTGGGTAAAGAAAAGACCAAACTACTCTTTAAAAATCTGGATTGGGCATTTCTTTATTCAAACTACCCAACTTCCAAAGGACGTAACTCACTCATCCGAACTCGGAATCGCGCAAACTCGGCGGCGTTGGAAAGATAATTTCAAGAGATTTCCAACCACATCTGTAATCACACCTAAATCATCCTGATATAGGAATTATAGTCATTTGAAGTTGACCAAAAACTAACTTTAACTTGCTTAAAAATTTCCAGATTTCATCATTCTTTCCAAAAGTAACTATTTCCAGATTTTAAACTTCCTTCTAGTTCTTTCTAGTTGCGAGATGTTACACTATAGATCTCTGTGGAATTCATATTGAAGTTTTAAGGTTCAGAAGTTCATTCTAAGGGCGCAAATTACGACCTGTAGAAGTTCCTATGACCCGTAGATGGGTCCGTAGGAATTGGACCCAAAAATTTGATTTTCAGTACTTTTTCCATTAGTCAACAGTACGGGTCGTAACTCTTTCTACAACTCGTAGAAGTGATTCTTAGGTCATTGACTCAGAAAACTATGTTGTAGTAATCTCTGGTAAAAAACAATCATAACTTTTTACTCTGAATTAAAAATGAGGCAAACTTGGTGGCATTGGAAAGATGACTAATAAAACTTTAATTTTATAGGCAATGGGCCACCATAATCAGTATGTGCTAAGAAATATAGTTATTTGGAGTTGACCTAAGTAGAATTTTGTATCAAAACTTAATTGGGGAGGAAGCTTTCAACTCAACTTTGTGTTAGAAGATTCTAGTGACCTTAATTCATATCTCCCTCACTAAATAATTGACCTTAGCACTAAAGAGAAATTTAAGAATGCCCGATACGACCTTATATGCAAAAGAAGAATGATTCGGATCATAACTTTGAAATTTTTAAGGTGTTACAATTAATTTCAAATGTGACAAGTAAAAGTGAACCTAGAGAATATGAATATATTTGTTTTCTAGCTCTTTACTACTCCTAGTTCCTAACATTTAAGAATTTATCAGGATATTAAAAATAATTTCATTTTGGATAATGACTTTCATAATAATATTACATCAAGAAGCTATTAATTTAAATAAACAATTCTTTTATCTTTATCATCCTCCATCTGATTATTAGTCCGTTTGGATTGGCTTAAAAAGTAGCTTTTAAATCAAAAATAAAAAGTCAAACTGAAATGACTTCTAAGTCAAAAAAAAATAAAAAATAGGGAGAGACCGACTTTTGGTTTTTGACTTATTTTAAGCAATTATAAACTTATTTTAGGCCATTTTTTACCTTGTCAAACACTTCCTAATTTATTTTGAGCTATTTTTGTCTTATTTCAAGTTATTTTTTATATACTGCCGAACACTTCTAGGAGTCAAAAACCGACTTAAAAGTAGATTTGACCAACTTTTAAGTCCATCCAAAAAAATGATAGAAACTATAAAGTAGCTAAACCTTTTTTTCTGTGTGTCATTTATGAATTAGGACTTTGGTTAGCTAGTGGCTAAACAAACTATATATCCATATAAATAAGATTTCCTTGTAAACAGTTTTGGCCACTCATCTAATAACCATTACGTGCGTTTCATTCTCTTCGATCTTCTCTTTGATTGCTTTTTATGAAGTCGCACCGGGAGCTAATGCTTGCTATCTAAGAATTGCTCCATGGATCTCATCGGAAATGTTTGATGATTCTTGGGGCTTCTTTGGCGACCGTGAAGTCACCGGATGAATTGCCGAGTAAATAGATCAGATCCCTCCGTCCCCGAAGCGAAGAAAGAGGAGCAGGAACAAGAGGTTGTCCTCTCCTTACAGTTAAGGTATTAGTCATGCAGACTACAAGTTTCTCCCAATTCAACATTCCATCGATCGTACGGGCCTCACCTCGCCCTACAACCACCATGCTCCGTCGCCAAACCACCTCATCGCGGAGGTTATCTCCGCTTTACGCCATGGCTTCATCCACATCTCGTCACCAGGTTACTCACTCAATGCCACCAGAAAAATTGGAAATCTTTAAGTCATTAGAATATTAGGTCTCAAAAAATGTCCTCCCACTCCGCATGCCCGTAGAGAAATGTTGGCAGCCCATTGAGTTTCTTCCTTACCCATCTCAAGGGCCTGAACAATTCGAAGAAGAGGTTCCAGCCCTAAGGCAACAAGTTTAAGGGCTTTTGGATGAGTACTTTTGTTAGATCGAGAAAGATTTTGATAATTGACAAATAGAGGAACAGATGAAAGGAACCGGTTGCTCCAACATGTTCCTTTCAGACTGAATCCAACTAGGATAAGGAGAACGTCAGCCACGCGAATTAGAAGTTATAAACCAGTGCAAAAAGATTTCCTTTCATAAAGAAATCTTAAGCGGAATAGGAAGCGTAAATAAAGTAGGAAGCATAAGCAAAGTAGGAAGTATAACAGCGTGAATAACTTTCAAATTCGAAACGGAGTAGGAAGCATGATCAGATATGTAAATCGAGTTCAAGTTAAAAAATGTTTTGAAGAGTTCAAAGTCTATATATAGGGCAATATTTTCTTTGGTGAAAATTGCGCACTTAAACAGAGCGTTACAAGCAGAATACAATCAAATAGAGGGAGTTCATATTTGAGTGAATTCTGATTACGAAGTGCAGCCAACGCAAGGAAAAAAGAATTGAAAAACTGATTCATAGGCTTATGTTTTATAGTTCTTAAGTCATGTTTGCTTGTATTGAGTTTTTATCGAGTTGTATCTTTAATTCTTTCTAGATCCAGTGAAGTATAAATTGGAGTAGGAATAGAGACTTCAAGTTGGGGCGACTTAAAGACTTGGGAACATAAACCTTAGGGGGTTTATGTTGGAGTTTAGGAATTAGAGTTAGTTCATAGGATTGCAAGAGTTGTAATCCGAATTCATAACTTGAAGTGGGGTCGACGATCTAGTTGGTTGTTGGCGTCTAGGAATTAGAGTTTATAATTCATTAGGTTACATAGGCTTATAATCTTTTTTTGAGGCTCAGAGTTTAATGAAGTGGAGTTAAATCCTACAGAGGTGTAGGTCGTGGTTTTTACACTTGATGAGTCGGGGTTTTCCGCGATAAAATATTGTGTCATTACTTTATTTTCTTTACATAACGTAACTGTTGTAATCTGCAAAGAAACAGATAGAATATACATGTTCCTTAGGCAAATCTGGGGGTTAGTATTCCAACAACTTTGTTATGCTGGAGGGTAATATGCTAATTGAGGATGATTTGCCTACCTATCAGACCGCGATTAATACGTTTGATGGAGTACGCGATGAGACTGGATCCAGCCCATGTCCATGGGCAATTTGGACTCGGGCATGGTCCGCTGAGGAAAATCGACTTATTGATCTGCTACGAACTTATTTGTATCTTTCAGGGAGAGTGGATATGTTGATGGTCAAGAAAACACTACACTACTCTATTGGAGCTGGAATTGTAAGTGTTGCTCTGAACATTTTCATAAAATTATTTAGTTAAGATGACCTATATATAACATCGTATAACCTAAATAATGCAATAAATAAGTTGAATGAAACCACCAAATATATTGCACTACTCCTAAAAGAAGTAACGAACACCAATTAAATGTTTAATTTACTACCCTTCTATTCCAAAATAATAATTCATCCGTTCACTTTTACTTGTCACTTATTTCTAAGAGATTAACTTGTGTGCACTGACTGTGTAAAGTTTTTTACATCATCGGGTAAGTTAATCTCTATGTTAATCTATATTTCTAAACCGTTTAAGTTTTGTGCACGATCAGTGTATAGATTTTCTACACTATTAGGTAATTTTTAAGATAAACATGGTAACTTAATTAAGTGATTAATAAAATATATTTTTAATATAATTATAATTATGGTAAAATAAAGTAAATTAAAATTGAGTCCTTTTTTCTTCTCTAACCAAAATTAATTTTAGTTATCTTCTTAATTAACCAAGTTTATTTGCTTTTCTACATTTGAATATTTTTTTTCATCAGAAGTAATTTTCAATGCCACAAATAATTTCTTAATTGTCGTTGTTTTTTTCTTTTGAATTTTTGGCGAAGTCATAATCAGTACACACAAGAAGAAGAATTAAAAAAAGTAGCAACTTATTATTCTGATATGCAATATTACGATATATATCCTGAAGATCAAAAGGTTGATAACAATATAATCACTAATACAAATATAATTATTATCCCTAAGAAAATTCACGAACAAGAAAACATGATTTTTACTGAAAATAATTAAAAGATCAATACGACGAAGACGCAAAAACTAAAAAAATAGAACAAGAAAATAAAGAGATAAAACAAAAAAAAAAATCAGATTCAGAAAACCAAATTAACTTGGTTAATTAAGAAGATAACTATGAATTAATTTTGGTTAGAGAAGAAAGAGGACTCAACTTTCCTTAGCTATATTTTATCGTAATTATAATTGTATTCAAAAAGATATTTTACTAATTACTTAGAGCTTGTTTGGCATTGCTGCTAAAAACTGCTTATAAAATGCTTTTGAAAAAATGTAATTTGTGTTTGGCTAATTCATTTGAAAAGTGTTTTTGACAAGCAAATTGTGTTTGACTAATCTTTTTAAAAAGTGTTTTTGAGACTCAAATTACGAAAAAGGGTAAGTATCAATGTACTTTTTATACTAAGATTATTTTATAGAGAGAAACTATTTTAAATATCTATTAGAAATTTTTTAATGAAATATGCATATTCAAGTTTTCAATCAATATTATACATAAATAAATTAATTAATTAAATATTAATATAATATTAACATGATGACTTAAATATAATTCAAAATATCAAGAAAAATAAATTTAAAAACTATTCCACAAATTAAACCACTATATACAAAAAAATTCACCACAAAAATAAATAAAATCCTTCATATTTTTAATACTACAAAAATGTTGTTGTTACATTTATTTCTAATTCTGTAAAATAAGACGTAAATTAAAATATAAAATAATAATAATAATAGTATATAAACATAAAATAAAAAATTATTATATAAAAATAAAAAATAAAATTCGTGCACTAACGGTGCACAAAACTTAAACTTATTTTTAAAATAGATTTTTATTTTTACTTGTCACTTTTGACATATCAATAAAAGACAATATTTTTTTCCATGTTTTGCCCTCAACATTAAATACTTATTTTCAAGACATCATTTAATAGAGGATAATTTAGTAAAATACATATACCATTAATTATTTTCTTAATGGGTGTGTCAAGTTAAAATATGACAAATAAAAATGAATATAGGGAGTAATTAATGTTTTTAGTTTAGGCACACCACTTAATTAAGTATATTTTATTTTATTTCTATGAAATTACCATCGCCAAAAGGCTGGGTCTTTGGCTTAAGGGGGCTGGTTTGCCCATTCAATCTACTCAAATCTTAAGAAACTACTCATTTCTAAAAATAGAAAGTGTTTTTATTAACTTAGCCCTAAATAAGAAGTGTTAATAAATTCAAAGACTGCTCATTCCAAATTCATTCGAACAATGTGATACGTAGTCTTTGAATTTGGAATATTAAAGTTTGTGTATTAAAAATCATATAAGAAGCAATTCGCTGCAAATTTTTGAAAAATACATATGTTATAAATATAAATTGTCTATCATGTTTGCATCTTAGGACGTCGGAGTAGAGAACAATCCATTTATGGGCTTTGTGTACACATCATTTCAAGAGTGAGCCACATTTCTAACGCATGGTAATATGGCTAGGCTAGCTACAGAAGGCGGAGACCCCATGCTAGCACGTATATGTGGAACCATTGCAGCAGACGAGAAGCGGCATGAGAATGCATATACAAGAATTATTGAAAAGTTACTGGAAGTGGACCCAAACACGACTATAATAGCCATTGCATATATGATGAGGAAGAGAATCACAATGTCACTGCACCTCATGTATAATGGGTAAAATCCGAATATATTTAAGCACTTTTCGGCAATTACCCAAAAGCAGGGGGTTTACACATCTCGTGATTATGTTGAAATATTAGAATTTTTCATAACAAGATGGGAATTGGAAAAACTTGAAGGCTTGACAACGGAGAAGGCGAGACGTGCACAGGATTTTGCGTGCAAACTTCCACGTAAGATTAGGAGGGTTGAAAATCGAGAAAATATATTAGAGTCACGTTCGGTGAAGTTTAGTTGGATTTTTAACAAGCAGGTTTGTGTTTGAATGTATTGATTTGTAATAAATATGTAAAATTAAAACTAGTACATCGTTAAATTGTTTGTAGCTAATTTAACTATCGCGAGCAGAACATTTAATGAATATGCTTGCAAATGAAGAGGCAAAGAGACTACTTTTTAATCATGTCTAGGAGTGGCAAACGAGCGAGTTAAGTCGAATATGTGTCGATCGAAAACAAGTTAAATAAAAATGGATAAAGCACTCAACTCGACTCACATTTTAAATGGTAAAAACGAGTTACCCAATGGATAATATGAATAAATATGGATGCCCATATTATAATAGAGATCTTGTTAAAAGCTTTAAAAATAAAATCTTTTTAAATTTAATTTTTTTATCACTTCACCCCCCCTACCCCACCCCCCC